CACACACACACACACACACACACACACACACACACACACACACACAGAATAAAAATGTTAGAATAAGGAAGGAACTGAGCTTGAACATGAAACAAAATGTGGCATTTATTTTGTGGCTTAGATGTTATATGTCATCTATTGGCAGAGACAAGTAATTATAAATGCCAGAAAACCGAGAAGGGGGTCCTAGACGGCCTCTGGTATCCCTGTGCCTTAGTTCCTTTACCTATGAAACAGCCATGCCAGGCAACGAGTGGGGATTACAAGACTGGCATACCATGACTGTGCTCTTGGATACAATTATTGTAAAAACCAAGAGGTGAGTAACGTGGTCTCCTTTAAGTAGACACAGCAAATGCATTTTATCCAGATCGCCATCATCTCTTGAATGGTTGCTTATCAACTTTCATACATCATTAATAGTATCCAGACGGGCACACAGAGCAGGTGAGACTATCTGTGCTCTGTGGCCGAGGAAGCCATGTTCAGGAGGGTTAATTAACCACAACTAGCCTGGGGCAGGCATCCCAGGAGAGAACATTTAAACTTCCAGTTCTATGTAAAAGAGCAGATTGTCTAGTGAAGGCTGATTGATGAGGAAGGGGGAAACACATGATTCACCTTCACATGTTTCCAAGAGTCAGGCCAAAGGCGATTTCACATCCAACTTTGAAAAGGGCCAGATACTTCTCATACCATAGAGTTTTCAGACTGAAAGAAATTTAAGAAGTCACAGATGTTTTTTTCTGATACCTCCACTGTTCTATGGGAGAAATGGAGGTCTCGGAGACCATGCCCCTTGTCTGAATTTTCTGTGCATTTTGAGCATGTCCACACTGACACTCTAACTCTCCTGAGTGCCACCCTTTGGTCATCCCCTTAAACTCCAGTGGATTCACAAAGCTGAAAAGGTTGCTCCTTATGTTGGTCCTCACACCTTCTGTGTTCTGTCATTTGGCAGTTCCTTGGTCCTTGAAAGACTTTCTCACATCTTAGTCTCTAAAGCATGAGGGGTTTTACCAAAGTCTGAACGTGTACCCTGAACTGGTGCTGTAAGCATGGGACCTTCCTTCTGACAACATTGTCTAGGCATATGGCTGCTGCCTTATCATAGTCACTGAATCTGAACGCCATGCCTGCAGTTACGTATCCATCATTACAGTTTTCTCTACTATAGCTTTATCCTGAGCTGTAATACTCACAGAATCACTCTTTAAATATGCATTATACAAATACATAACTGACATTTAGACGTTTGCCCTTTAAGCCTGTCTCATGTTGACTTTTACTTATTCTCAAGCTCTGGGGAGATTACTTCGTTCACAGATCACTAAAATAAAGCCTAGACAGACCATATCCTACCCCCAGAGTTCTTACTTTAGCCCAATATAGAAAACACAAAGCTCAGTTGATTTGATCTCAGTCTCAGCAGCACACACAGCATTAGGATCCACAGCCAAACCTGGCTGATTCCTCAGCACCTGGTGTCATTCACAAAGGACTACTCGGCAGAGTCCTTACCAGGTCAGTATGTAAGAGCCCCACTCTTAACAGGGGTATGGAGCTCTCAACTTTTATCATCATACTCAGGGGTTGGGGAGAGCTTGTAAGCACAGAAGAATGACATATCCTTCTGAGGGTTTCATTTGGGAAAGGATCCTATCTATGGAGACATTGAAATACCAGAGAAACAAAATGCCCACGACTTTCACTTTTCTCATCAACGATTACCTAACATTCACCACATTTGTTTCTTAATGTTATTGTTTTGGCTGAGCCACTTAAAAATCAGCCGTGGACTATTTATGGCACCTCATTCTTAAAGACTTTGACAGGTACTCTCCTTAAGAACAGAGGCCTCTTCCTGTCTGGTTGCAGTACTGTCACATGCGTGAATCCACCGGAGTACACTAACATTAGCTGAAATCCCCCAGCTAGCACTTCACAGGATCTTTTCTTCTTCTTCCTGTGGTCTAAGGTAACCTGCAATAGTGCTGTCAGCTCTCAGCCTCTTCTCTAGAACTATCTCTCTCTCTTTTGTCTTTCATATACGGGATTTTTGAACAGTCCAGATCTACTTGCATGATTAGATTCTTCTTAACTCATCCTAGATCTTGGGGGCAGGAGCAGATTCCTTCAGTAACAGGCTATTTAGAGACACTTGGGAAAGTTACGCAGACTGAAAAACAAACCAAACCAAATTAGCAAGCATCCTTAAAACTCCAGTTGCTGAAGAACTTGGGTCTGCTTAGCAGCCAACTGGATTAGCAACTGACTAGGTAAAGAGGTAGCTTGGATCTGTGGTAATTGCACCCAATGTCACCAACAGCTTATATGAAGAGATTCCCAACCTCCTCAAAACCAAATTCAAAGTAACCCAAGGTTGCTTTACCTTGTCTTTCGACATTGTGTGTGTGTGGAGCTGTCCTCTTACTCCAGGTCCTGTACTGAATGTGTGTGAACAGCTGACCAGCCAGAGTCCTCAGTTCTGCCTGGTTATACATTGTAGGAGGAGGAGCAAGCAGAGGTGAATGCTAACCTTCTTAACAGAGGCTGGATATTGATGGGAATCCAATCAATATGCCCTTTACCTCAGTGACCTGTGGCTTGAGTGCCTCTGTCCCACCAGGAAAGAAAACGATCATAGGTCTCCATAGGTGTAAGTTACAAACCAGATGCAGGCACATCGTAAGGGGTGCTAAGTGTGTTGTGAAAGGGACAGGTGAGAGGAGAAACCGATGGGGTCTTTTGTAGACGCCGAGGTAGGCTGTGTTGTGGGGAAGACAAAGATGGGAGGGTGGGGGGTGCGGGGCTGTCTGCTCTGCAGAGAATTAGTGAAGTGGGGCTTGTCCTTAGTGGGGCCACATCAGTTACCCGACAAGGTTTGGAAGGGTCTGCGCTTGGGTTTGAATCACAGTGTTTTACTGAGGGTGACTCTAAGCAAGTGAGTGACTGAGACTTTTCTGTGCCTTAGGTTTGTATTGTTTGGTTTTTTTTTTTTTTTTTTTTTTTTTTTTGACCCCGTAAAATAGAGATGATAGCATACACCCATTGTTTTGTTGAGGGGATTGCAGAAGACAACTTGATGTGTTTGGCACGCACACACAATGTTCTCAATAGATGGTGGCGACACCCTTTCTATTGTTATCATTAATTCAGTGTATTTCAGGATGTGAAGGCAGAGCCAGATGTGGCGGCACACATCTGAAATGCTGGCCCTGGGGAGGCTGCCACAGGAGGATTGTGAACTGGGGGCCCGCTGCATCACACGAGACTTGCAGTCTAGCCTTGACTACATAGAGAGACCCTGGCTGGGGCAGAAAGTGTGCTTGTGATAGCCTCGAGTTTCCAATGAACTCTGCTCATATGTCTTACGCCCGTTTCCTTCTAGGAATCCCTTATGCCATCTGATCCAAAACTAATGAAGGAGGTGCCAACGTTAGTGCAGCTTCATGGTTGCCAGCAGCTGTGGTCGCTGGATTCCACAGAGGTCCATATGGAGCCAGCTCACAGCAGACGAAAAGAAGCAGCAGCAAAGGACAGGGACACGAAGGTGGGGAGGAAACTGGGTTCAGTTGGTCTAACATCTCCCCCACCTCTACCCATTTCTGCTCTCTTCTTTCTCTGTGTGTGTTATGTGTACATGTGTGTACTCCTCTATCCGGAAATGGGATTGATGTGCAGTATCCTGCTCTCCCGTTATTTGAAACGACCCCAGAGGCTCTGGAAACTCCACTTTTGGGCCAGGCCGGCTAGCCAGGAGATCCACTCCAGTGCAGGCATTATAGGCACTGCCAGGCCATGCCTAGAATTGTTTTTTAAATGTGTGTCGGGGACTTGAACCCAGGTCCTCTTGCTTTCACAAGTACTCTTACCCACCGAGCTCTCGCTTCAGCCCCTCATTTCTGTAAGGTGACAGACAGCTCGGGGAGCACTTTGGGTTTAGGAGGAAAATAACCCAAGTCAAAGCCCAAACTTGAGCGGAGCTCAGCTGACGTGTCACCAGTGAGTGTAGTCACTTCCGGCCGGGACTTTACACTGAAGTGCAGTATAGCCCTTCTCAGGGCTTGACTGGCTTAACTGTCACAGAGTTGGTGTGCTGGCATTAGTAGGCGGCGGTGTCGAAAGAGTCGCTGCTGTTCTCTGCTTTGGCACCAGACTTTCCAGCACCCTAGGATGCTCGGGCGGATGCGCGCCCCCAGTCCTCAGCAGCACCACGGACGTTCCAGAGAGGAGACACCCTGGCAACTGTTTTCCACCGTCCTGGCTCTGCACGAAACACACTTGTGCCATGCTCAGGAACGACAGCTGCCCCCCGCGTTGCTTTTCTACCTTTGTTTTTTGAAGTCTGCTTTGAAGTAATGGCGTTTGTCTTCACCGAAGCTGCGCCCTGGAGTCCGTGACTACGGTGCTTCCCCTCCAGCAGTGGCCAGAGGCCAGGGACGCTGCTCCTCCCCCATGAGGGGCGAAACTCATTTAGACCACGCAGCTTCTAGGGTAGGCTGAAAGTCACTGCAGGCTGACGACGGAGGGAGCATACTGCACAGGTTGATTTTGGCAGGTGGACTCAGACCGCAGTCGGACCTCATGAGAGGCTGCAAACGTAGCTTCACGGCGCACAGAGGAGCTTCGGGCTTCTGTGGGATAAAGCCTGGTAAAAAAAAAAACTTGGCTTTTTTGCACTTTGCCCCGGGATGACGTCAATCTGCTTACCGAGTGCCCTGGACTGCAAAACTAGCTCTGTTCAGGATCCCCTGTCTTAGTGCTGAGGTTGCAGGCAGGAACAACCTGCCTGGGAGCAAGGGATTGAGTTCAGGAACTTTAATTTGCAGAGTAAATGTTCTTACCCACCAGGTGGTCTCCCCAGACCTGGCTGTATACTTTTAAATCTTTCCGGTTACATCCTGATTACATCATCAATTCGAAGGGGAAATTCTAAGAATTGTAAATGGTAGCCTCCATTTCTCCCCTTTATTATCTTTCTTTTTTATGAAGTGAGAGGAATCAGGTTTCTGTTTTTGTTTTCTCTCTAAGAGAAGCCTGCTGCATTCCTCTCTGATTGAGTCAGGTGCAGGTAGGGGTAAAAAGCATGAGTGAAAACTTAGGCAAACCAAGAGGGCAAGCTCTCCAGGGGAAGAGCTTTACCCTGAAGGTCAGGTCCCCTGCCTGGCTTCAGGAAATCCAGTGAGGTTGCTCGGATTTGTATCCCAGCATCTGGGAATCAGAAGCGGGAGGATTAGGAATCAAAGTCATCCTCAGCTACTTAGGGAGTTCCAGAACACTTGGGGTACATCAAGCTCTGGCTCAAACAAACAAACAAACAAACAAACAACAAGCCAATCAGAATAACAACCCCAAAATAGAACAAAAATATAATCTCTGCTGTTGCGTGAAAGGTGGACTGGGTGGGAGCATCAAGAAATATGAGAAGCAAATTGCAAGAGCATGGTGATCATTATGCTTGCTTCTGGCTGCCAGAACTAATGGTAGGGAGAAAGAGAAGTAATGAACTCAAGGTGTGTTTTTGGTGCACAAAGAAAATGGTCATACTTTTAGGAGAAGGGGTATGGCAGATGGCAGGCCACTTTCTTGCTTGTCAATCTGGGGTAACAGACACTATTTACAATTAGAGGTGCTGGAGGTTTAGTCAGGAAGAGCAATCCAGCCCTCCCTCCCAGACCCCAAAAGAGTGAAGATTAAACTTTTCAGGCATTTGTCATTCTACGTACAGGTCTAAGATACATGGAGAGCCCATGTGCACTGTGCCTTTGTTCCCATAGTGACAACATCTTATAAGACCATGGCTGTAGTTCACGGCCAGGTTATTACTATGAATGGTCAAGGTACAGTTTGCCCCTGGCAACACAAGGGCCCTCACACTGTATTCTGTAGCCATAACCCACTTTCCTGTTAAATTTCCAGACTCTTAAATCAGGGTAACCATACTTTTCTCCAATTGTATGATTTTACTGTATCGAGCATGATTTAAAACTTAAGAGAACATTCTGCGTTACTCAAGATCTGACAGTGGAAATGTAACTCTCATATGCTTCTTGTGACCAGTGGAGAGGCTGCTCCAAGGTGGCAGTTAGACGGTTTCACCATCCAGCACCAGTGGACTTGTGTGGTCAGAGCAAAGGTAATTGGTGCATAAATGGTGGGCTAATCCTTTAGTTCTTCCAGAACTGGACCCACGATGAAAGGAAAGGAGAGGTCTTCAGAGGGCCTAAGAGCAGCAGCGACCTAATCATGTTCTCTCTCAGCTGTCCATCCTCTGAGGAGATGTATAAGCCTATTGATTCAGATAATGAAACACTGAGCTATGTTGTGTAACTCAGATTACTTGTTATATTTTACTTGAGTTCATCTACATTTCCTTGGATACCTCAATGCTTTAGAAAAGCCTCCTAGGGAGGTAATAGTTCTCATACCCATGGCTAGTGGGAGGAGCTACCGAGCCAGTGTCAGGATGGTACATTTAGGGGATTCGACTTAGTGCTGTGGGTTCCAACCACCTGATCAACTTGAGAATGTGGACTTACTTTGAAGGGAGCCTGAAGACTTATTTCAAAGAAAGCAGGTGAGAGCCCTGAAGAATGATTAATGTGGAATCTACAAATCCCACCTACACAGATGTCTTTTCACACCCACATTACTTACCCACATGCAGTAAATGAATCCCTCCGGAGTTCCTTCCGATTAAGCTAATTGAACTAAATTATCCATTAGAACCTCATTGTTTTGAGTTCTATTTGTGTTAATGGTGATTCCCCAAAAGGTAATGCTGTTTTTTTTTTTTTTTTGGTTTTTTTTTTTTTGTTTGTTTGTTTTTTTTTTTTCATTTCAACAAATTCCAATTCCATCATCTCCTGAGGGCAGTATACTCTGATGTGGTATACTCTGATGTTCTCACTTCATAGATGAAGAAGCAGATAGTTGAAGTGGTTTAGCAATCTGTTTGGTGTCACAGGATTAGGTAGTGTCTAAGATCCATCTGGATTAGGATTTTTTTGCTCTGGCCTCTTCTGCGTTGTCTTTGCTGGAAAACATAGATCTTACAGTTCTTGTGGCCCACACCGTGGGATGTTCGGTCCTCTCTACATTTCTGTGCTGTAGGCCTCTTATTGAACAGTCAGTAACTAGCGTTGACCACCGTGATGAGACATTTACACTATGAAGGGCATTAGGACCCCCTTACCTCCTCATACTCCTAGCCCCACCCACAGTCAAAAGAGATCTTTTTCTGTTAGAATTATCTATAGTAAGAATTCCCAGATACTCTTTGTTTCAGAGAGATATGAAGAGTGCAGTGTTGAGGCTGTTGAGATTGAACCATTGAGATGACTCAGTTTTAGAAGGCTTTATTTTGAGCAAATGTGAGAAATGATTTACTGGACACACACACACACACACACAAATGTTTTAATTTCAGTTGGGTGTGGTGGTACACACTTTTAAACCAGAACTCTGTGAGTTTAAGGCCTACCTA